CCCCCCGGCCCCTGCTCCGCCTTCACGCCATCCCCACTTCGGCCCTGCCGCTCCTCTCCAGACTACATGGATGCTCTGAGTCACGCCACCCCTTCCGCCCCGCCCCGCCTGCCCCCTCCCCAGCCCCGGCCCTTGACCCTGTAACCGTGTTATTACATCACTCTTGTGCCTAAAACTGCCCTGGCGTCCCAGTGAGGACAGCCCTCTGATCCTTGTTATATCGGGCCAGGCCTGCCCTGTCTCTGGAGACTCCTCCAGCCATGTCCCATGTCACTCCCTTCCCCACCGTGTGCCCAGCCAGTGGGGTCTTCCTGCCACTGGAGCACTCCCTCTGCAGGGCCTTTGCACTGGCTGCCCCTTTACCAGACATCACCTTTAGGGATGCAGTTACAACGTCACGTGCTGCGGGTCCTGACCAGGTCGTCCCTTCCTCCCCAGCTCTGCATTCCGCAGGCTTCCTTCGCCTACCGAGCAATGAGCGATGGGCCGGGCAGGGGTCTCGATCTCCACATTCCGCAGGCTTCCTTCGCCTACCGAGCAATGAGCGATGGGCCGGGCAGGGGTCTCGATCTCCATATTCTGCAGGCTTCCTTCGCCTATCGAGCAATGAGTGACAGCCGGGCAGGGGTCTCGATCTCAGTCCACCCCCCGGGTGCGGTTCTTGGTCCACCTCCCGGGCGGCATCTCAGTCTACCTCATGCTCCTGCTTGTGTCTGTCGTAACGCACATGCATGTCCCGACCTTCATTACTTCTCTGTGTGCGTGAACGTGCGTGTGGTCTGGTTTCACCCTCCAGCAGCAAGGCCGTGACCCATTTGTTGCTGCGGCTCGCATGCAGAAGAGCACGCCTGGCACTGGGCTCATTTGGCTGATGTCTGCCAAGGAATGGATGTCTGCGAACAGGGCGACCCCGAGCAGCAGCGGGCGCCCGTCTGCAGCCCTTCATTCCGGGAGGGAGAGCTGGTGAGGAATGTGGCCAGCCGGAGCTCTCTGCTGTGCGCGACATCTCCGCCATGTTGATAGGGTGCAAAGCCCAGGGATTGGGTAGTCACAGAAGAGCTGCCCTTCCTCCAGGACTCGGGACAGCAGCAGTGCCCTCTGATTAGACCTTCCAACAAGGAGCGCACTGACACGTCAGCTCAGACCACCAGCCTGAGCACCCGGGAGCTGCGGGGACGGTGACTTCATCCTAGGAGGACGGCCGGTCTGTCTCCCATGTCCGAGGCCACTTCAAATCACGCACCCCTGGCACTCCAGCTGCCGTAGGTGTTACAACATAGCGGCAGGCCGTGACCTCTGTCCCACCACTGAGCACCCGGTGCGTGCTTACAGGGCTTTGCTGAAGGGGCTCGGGGGTGGCAGGCGTTTTCCTTGGCATTTGTCTCTGGGGTTATAAGGTAGGCAAAGAGGAGTCAGAAAGGCCTCTGGAAACAGTATCAAGCTTCCAAAGTGATCCCTGGAAAAGGGGATTTAGGCTTTTCTGACCTTAAATTTTAGAAGCAATGGACCTGGCCATGATGACATGGGTGGCAGGTGCCACTGCGTGACACTGGAGCCACATGGGAAGGCCCAGGGCTCAGACCCCAGGTCCCCCTGAACATGCCAGGCACACCCACAGTGGGCCCACGACCCTACCTGGTTGGGAAGGCCAGGAGGAATGGGTATGACCGAGCCTTTCAAGGGGGCCTCTCTCAGTCTCTTTCTCAATAAATACATAAACAAACTGAGAAAAACAGAAATGATGACAAACACAATCTATTTCAGAGTCCCCATGCTCTGTTCATCAAAGACAGGTGGCCAGAATGTTCTCTCAAAGGTACCCCGTTTGTTTATTCCAAAACGCATCCTGACCCCCACCTTGAGTCAGCAGTACACTGAGTGAGAGCCCAAGGAACAGGGTGACCAGGACACAACGCTTCCCTCCAACAATCCGCTGGGAAACAGAGAAGCCAGAGAAATAAGCGAACAATTCCAAAATGGCAGGAGAGGGCAGTGACACAGGTGTCCCCAGGGCTTGGCCAGATGCGCAAGCTGCAGCCGTAAGGGGTGGCAGGGAGGAAGAGAAGAGAGCTCTGGAGGAGGTGGACAACCACAGGGTCCTCGTGTTGGTGGAGGTCGGGGTGATAGGGTTGGAGGGTGACAGACCACTCTCTCTGCTCAAGCTTTGGCATCCCGCATGGTTAACGGAGAGCTCTTCCTCGGGAGGCACAGCAGCAGTTCATGCCAGCAGCCCTGGCTCTTCTACGAGAACGTGGGGCCAGGGGCATCTCACCTTGTCATGTGGAAGAAGGCAGGCGAGGCACTCATCGAAGACGTTCCTATCTTGTTAGGGCCCATCTGCCCACCACATTCCCATCCTCAAACTCACTCCCAGCCCAGGGACCATCCCAGTCTGGGCCAAAGCCAAGAAGGGCCAATACCCTCACCTCTGTGTGCAGCAGCCAGGCAGTCCTCCGAAGCCAAGACCTCCTCCCTCCTCAGCTCCCCTCCATGCAGAAAGTACAACGGGAACTCCGAAAAGAGTTGTTGGCCAAGCTTCTTCCCCAGCTCCGTTTTGCCTTTGCTCCTGAACACCAGCTAAGGCATAGTCACAGAGCACACGCTTGTAGAAGATGGAGAGCCCATGGGGGTGGAGAGGGCAAAAAGTCGCAATGCTTTTCACCTTGTTCAGCAGATGTCATAAACTTGGGAAGCGATCGTAGGCTCTGTGACAACTCTGGAATGTGGAAGGGAGTTATTTTGTATCATTGTTAAACATATAAAGCATACCCCAGAAACCATGCTATGTCACCCCTAAATACTTGGCTTCAAGACATTTCAAATACTGGTTCTGGTAGGTTCTAGGTCATATCTCCAAAATATAATAACAATCATAATCTTTGACTAAGAAAGGACATGTCAAATGAATTGAATTTTTGGCCTAGAACCTGAGAGTTTTCAAAAAAAAAAAAATACTCTTCAAATTTTGATATTAAGAGTGAATTTCGGGACCAGCAGTTGGCGTAATGGCTATGTCGACTGCAGTTCGAGTCTCGAACCCAGTGACTTAAACTCACGTGGGGTGGGTGCATGTGTATGTGTGTGCCCAAGATCCCGAGAGGAGAATGGAGGAGAAGGGATTGTGGCATGGCCATCCCCCCCTGGGGGGTGATTTCTCACTTTCTGTCTCTGTCTCTCTCTCTCTCTCTCTGTCTTTCTGGTGAGCACACGTGCCCTATAGCAAAAACCTCTCAGAAAAAAAGAGTGAATTTCATGAGTTGGGTAATTCCAACTAAATTTAAATTTAGACTACCATTTGTTCACCAGGTCTTGACACAGAGAAACAGCTGCTACTTTAAAAGCAGACCGGCTACTTTACCTCTTTCAGCTATTCTTCAGAAGGACACTGGAGTGTGGGTTGTTTGAGCTGCTTATTGCTGTGCAAGAACTCATTCAATTCTTTGTGCCTTAAATAACAATGGACCATTTCCCACAATTCTGTGAGCTGCCTGGACATTCAGGACTCGTTTAGACTCACTGGTGTGTCTGTATCCGCTGATGGGGCTGGGCTGGGTGTTCCACGGCGGCCTCACTCATGCATGGCTGGCAGGGGTGCTGGCTGTGGGCTGGAGGCCTCACCCTTTGCACAAGCGGGGTGAACTTCCACCCAGCACAGAGGGACCAGGCTCCAAGAGGAACTCCAGGGCCCCTGCGGCTCCTGAGGCCCCAGCGCTGGGACTGCAGCCCTTCTTCCACACCCTGCCCAGCACAGCTCGTCCCAGGGCCAGCCCAGGTCCTGGTCCAGGCTCCACTCCCTGAT